TGGGACAAGCACGCAGGCGGTTAAGGAGTCTTCAGCCTGGTGAGGGCACAGTGCGTGGCCGGCGGGGATGAGCTCCGCCCCAGGACCCACAGGCTCACGGCGGCCATGGCCCCGAAGTGCCCGCCTCCTGGGTCCGGGACTCCTTTGCGAGCGCTTCCCGTGGGCGGCGGCGTTGGCCCCCGTGTGCTCGCTCTGCCTCATCGGTCTTTCTTGCCCTCTGTCCGAGGCCAGCACACGCCTGGGACACGGAGTGGGGGTGTGGGGGAGCATTTGCTGAATGAATAATGATCGAAGAATGAAGTCCAAAGCAAGAGAGCCTTCACTCCAAATGCAAACTGGTGTGGTGTTTGTGTCGATTCAAAACCGGTGGCTGTGCTCAGTGGACACACGTCAGGCTTCACTGTCCCCGCTCCCAGAGGTGGCACGGCTGGCGCTGGGCCGCTGAGTGCTGTTCTCCACGTGGGGGCAGCCCTGCCCCCCCCCCCCCAGGTTTTCACGTTCTGGAGAAATCAAATTAGCAAGGCGGGGCGGGGAGCTGAAGGCATGGGAGCAGCAAGAAGCCGCCACGGGGTGCGCGGGGCCTCCCAGTGTTCAGCGAGGGGGTCACTGGTGGGACGGGCCGTCGGGCGAGTGGCTGCCACGCTGATCGGTGGTTTTCAGAGCGCTGGCTGTGCCGCGTGGAGCTGTCAGGACAAGCGGACCCTCAAAGGACATCTGAAGAGTGGACACGCTCAGCTGTCAAAGGGGGGGTCCGGGCTCCCGGCAGAGCAGCGGGAGAGCAGCTGGTGGGGGTGCGACTCTCACCGGCGCTCCCTGTGGCCCACACACCCTGGTGCCAGGGGAGGCGGGACGCAGGCCACTGGACGTGTCGAGCACCAACCATCCAGCTGACGGAGCAGCTTCAGGGTTCCGGCATTTTCCCACCACAGGCAGATTTGTGCTGAGCATCCAAACCCAGGAAGGCACGGCGGTCAAGGAGCATCAGGACCCTTCCGGTCCGACTCCCCGCGCTCAGAGCAGGAGGGGCGGCGCGGCTTCCCTCGCTAACAGGGCTCCCCACCCCCAGGAACAGACCCATCCATCCTGCGTCAGTCCTGCCGGCCCAGCACGTCTGTCCGAGCTCATTCAGTGAGGGAGCAATCACATATCGCTCCGCCACGCGGGGTCCAGGACGCTGCACGACTGCCCGAGGCTGCTGAGCGCTCAGGCCCCCTCACTGCGGCATTTGATTCCATCATGATCCATGGAAGCTGCTGTTTTCCAAAACCCACGTCCTCCACGAGCTTGAGAAGGGTTCTGGGCTCCTCCGATGCCAAGGGCGGGAGTGAGCCCTCCCGTGTCCACGCTTCCTCCGCACACCAGGCCGGGACGCGGCACCTCGCCCTTGCACGTCTCCTGGGGCCCTCAGCGGCAGCAGCCACAGCTGGACCAGGGACGGCACTTGCTGTGGCTCCAACACAGACGCCATTGGGTCCTCATGCTCCCGGGGACACAAGGCCCCCACCCCTGGGCTGACAGAAGATCACCCACCGAGGTGCCCGGGTCCCAGGGAGCCACCGGGTGGCTTCCCCATGTCCCTGTGCACGGCCACTTGCAGCCCGGATCAGAGGTCTGGGGCTTGACCCCACCCAAGGTCAGAGGGCACGGCCACAGGGAAGCCTGTACAGGGAGGCAGGGCGGGGGGGCCTGGCCTGGGTCAGAGGGCAGCCTGGCTCCTCGCTCTGCGTCTGCCTCTCCTAATAATTAGCCTGGGAAGTGCCTGCAGCTGCAGGGAGCGGCCGCCCTCGCCCTCCCCAGCATAAAATATGCACCAGGAACACTCCAAACAGCACCACCGCCTCCGTGTCAGCGGCCCTGGGGATGGAGCTAAAAATAGGCAGGAGCTTGAAGAATTGCTGACAAGGGGGGAGGCTGGGCCCCCCGCTGGCGCACAGGCCCACGGAGCACACGTGTGCTGAGACAGACGAGACAGACGACCCTCACGGCAGCCCCTGGAGGGGACCCCTCCTCCCCACAGAAGCTATTTTTATCAGCACTAGTGCGCCCAGGCCCCTCAGTGAAGAATCAAAATGGCCTTTAATCGGTGAGAAACCACAGTCTGACGGACACAATGCCAGGTGAGGAGGGTGTGGTCACCGCCGCGCTGGCCCTGAAACCCGAGGCTTCGGTCACCTTCCTTCAAGCAGGTGTAGCTCCCCACCCCCTTCAGCCTCCCCACCGTGCCCAGCACCTCCTTCTCCACCCACAGGCCCGGGCAGCCCTGTCCAGGTCGTCCACAGAGGGCCCCCTGACCACAGGCCGCCCCTGGGGCGCCGAGGCCCCCCTCCCAGAGCGCACAGACTGCCGAGCCTCCTGGCGGTGGCACTGGCCTCCCCCGCCAGCTGAGTTCTGGGGTTTGTTGGGGAGCAGTCGTGGCGGCTGCTGGACCTGGGGGAGTGCACCCCTGTACTTGGCTGTGGCAGGTACTACAGACCTGGTCAGAGGACTGTCCATCATTCACTCGGCAGGAGCCTTTCCAAAATGAAGACATCACTACCCCTTGGCCATCTGGTCTTTCGCCCATTTGGGGACCCTGGTCACTGGGGGCGCAGGTGCCTGCCTGCCCCTCTCCAGCCCTCGAGTCTGTGCTCCTTCCACCCGGACGGCTCCCTGTCCCCCCACTCCAGGCCCGACCAGAGTGCACTCTCCTCACCCCCTTACTGAAGTTGCAAGTGCTCCCCCCAAAACACGGGGCCCCCGCCTCCTGCTTTCCCTTTGCCCCCCTATCACGCTCTACTCTCCCCACATGGTGACTCCCCTCTGCCTCGTAGGGCGCATGCTCTAGCGAGGAGGGTCCGAGGACAGTGAGGAGCCCCTGATATAAACCAGCTCGTGGGACCCTCCCCACCCTGTGTGGCCCACGGGAAGCACCTGCCTGAGATCACAGAGCAGGACCCACGGGCCCGACACCAGGGGCAGGTCCACTGAGGGAGGGAGGCTGGGGATGGAGGGACTGCGGCTGCCGCTCTGTTGGTGAGGGAACAAGCCTGTGATGCTCCCAGACAGTTCCTGGCCCCGCTCTGCACCAGAGTCTTGCCCAGGGCCGGGGCCAGGCCGGACACTAAACTGATGCGCAAGCACTAGTCCACGACGGGAAGGAGTCACCCGGTGCGGGAAGGCTTCACCCAGAGCAGCGAGGGCAAGAGTGGGAGGAGCTGGCTCTGTGCCCACCTGCTCGAAGGTGTGCAGGCAGCAGAGCACGTGCAAAGGCCCTGGGGCTGGAGGAGTTTGGGGCTGAGGAGCAGAGGCCGGCCGGGCTGGACCCAGGCCCAGGGCAGTTCAGGTGGGAGAGGGGACGAATCTGATTTTAACAACCTCGATGGCTGCAGTGTAGAGCCGGATGGAGGGCAGCAGGGGGAGGACGGCTCAGGGCTGAGCAGGACCCAGCAGCAGGGACAGGGCCTGCGGACACTGGGGTGGGCCGAGTAGGAGAGAGGAGCCAGCCAGGTTCCCATCGCACGAGGGGCGGACACAGGAGCAGTGGAATTTTTCTCAGGGGAAGATAATGGCCTCAGTGTGGGGTAAATCGGGTGTGAGATGCCTGCAGAGGCCCCGTGGAGAGACAGAGCTGGCAAAGTCGAGGTGGGAAGGGCACAGGCGGGACCTGTCGGAGCCTCATGCTTAGGGGGACTGTGGGGTGGCCCCGTGAGTCATTCCAAAGGCAGGGAGAGGACAGTGAGGTGCGGACGGGGAGCGTCCTTGGATGTGGCCACCCTGCTGGAGCCAGAGGCCGGGGGACTGGGAGGAAAGCGGTCAGGGACCCCCGAGTGTGGTGGGACGTTAGCACACAGGACAGATGCTGGGGGCAGCCTTGCTCACAGTAGGGCGCATGCATTTTTCAGAGAGCTCCCACTAAGTGCCAAGACTGTCCCAGGTCTAGTGACCCATTAGGAGCAAACCCGTCCCAGGCCTCAGGAAGCTCGGTCCGGGCCGGGGGAGACGGACTATCAGCTAGCGACCGGCTACCCCAAGTCCCGCGGCGGTCGGGCTCCAGAGGAAGCAGGGCAGGTATGAGAGGAGAGGGCGACGCGCACGCTGGATGGGGTGTCCTCTGAGGAGGTGACTGGGGGCTCCGGGTGGGGGGCGGGGGAGCAGGCTGGGTGGGCGGCAGGTGCTTGGACTTTAGGCTACATGCACCAGACCCAGGGGCTCTCAGCAGGGAAGGGACCAGATGAAACAGCTGAGAGCCGCCACCTGGTGCTGAGGAAGGAGGCTGTGGGCAGGAGGCTGTGGTGGCCCCGGTGCCACCAGGACGGGCAGGGGAGGGTGTGAGGGGTGGAGCCTGGGAAGTCTCCGGGGACTGTGAGCCCTGGGACCTCAGGTGGGCACAGCTGACAGGGCTGGGAGTTGTCAGGGGAGGAAGTCATTAGGGCTTTGTTTACAGATAAACCCCCAGTGAGCCCCCCGCCCCTCCCCATCGGGCCCACAGCAGCCTCGGCATCGTGCTCATCTGAAGCCTCAGCTGTGAAGCCGCCGTGGCGAGTGTCCCGCTGGGGGTGGTGACCCTCAGGGTCGGGTCAGAGACTTCATCAGCACAGTGCGCCTCAGACCCCTCAGAGGAGAATCAAAGGTGGCCTCCACTTGGTGCGAAACCACAGCCTGGATGGACACACCCAGCTCCGCCCGTCTCTCCTGCACCCAGGCCGAGCCCAGCCAGGTGCTGAGGCAGCGCAGGGTGGGGGGTCCCTCGGGAGCGCTGGGAGGGTCCTCCCTCCAGCACCGGCGCAGGGCAGGAGCCCTTGGCACGGAGCTCACCCCTGAGAGGAGCCCATGACGAGGGGCTCGTGAAGGGGTCTCCCTCATGCTGCCTGCTCGCCCCCCCCCCTCCCCGCCCTCTGAGGGCCCTGGCAGCTGACCTGCACCACAGCCAAGGCCGCTGGCTCAGGGTGTGGCGAGGGGGGCCCAGCTGCCCAGAATGGGCTCACGTGACTCAGTTTCCCCTGCAACACGGGGGCACTCACCACGAGCTGGGGCACCGGCAGTGACCTGCCCTCCTGGCTCAGGGACACGTAGGTGAAGAAGGCACTGGCCGCCCGGTAGCGCGGCTGTGTGTTGTCCACCACGGGGTCGGCGTCCACCAGGACCTCGATCTCCATGGACTTATTGCTCGTGAAGGTCATGCGCCCCGAGATGGTGATGACATAGCCTGCGGAGCGGGACAGCGGGTTAGGAGGGCGAGGCTGGGGGGGTGGGGGCGCAGGATCAGCGGACAGAGGACGCTAAGACACCGGGTTAGGCAGCACAGGCCACTCTAATCACTAGGACGTTCACACGGCAAACCATTAGTACCCACGCACATCCACCTCCTCGCGACAGGCAGACTCGTCTCATTCATGGAAGAAGTTAGTGGCATCTTGGGCCCTCCCAGGCCCCCTGCACTGGGAGTGGCAGTGTGTGCGGCGGGGGGGGGGGGGGGATGCCTCTCACTCGTGCCCCTCAGGGGAAGCCCCACCCACCTGGAGGCAGCCCTGGGGAGCTGGCTCTGTCCGGAAGGCTAAGGCCCAGTCTGCAACCTGCACTGTCCAGGCTGTGCCTTGTGTGCCCACTGGAGCCACAGAGCTGCTCCCCACGCTGCTCTGAGCACCACAAGGAACCGCCTTCACGTCCCCCCCAGCTCCCTGGCTGCCATGTCCCAGATGCCATTGGGTCGGGCCACGCTGCCACACTGACCGGGGTCCTGCATCCCTGAGCACTGCCTGCACTTCAGCCCCAGCACACGGCCACCCGCGTCCAGGCAGGACCTGCGGCCCCTCCTCTGAGCAGGGACATCTGCCTCCTGAGACCCTGTCCTGGTCAGAGGCCTGGCGCTCACCACCTCCCCGCGGTCTCCCTTGTGGAGTATGCCGAAGTCTAAAGACTTCCCACGCCCTGGGGCCTCGTGCCTCTCTCTGCCCCTCGCCTCCAGGTCACGTGCTCTTCCCTCCACTGAATCCCTACACCTCACGGAGCAGCCACCGTGGGGATGGGACGGCATGAAAGGGCCAGGTGCCGAGCCGCGCGCCGCAGCCACGACCACCCGATGGGCTGTTCAGGACCACGCAGGAGCACTAACCCTTGGGCTTCCAGGGGAAGGGCCAACACCTGGCCGTGCCTCCCACATGTGGCCGTACCCGCCCCCTCCCCCATGGCCTCACTCTGGCCCGGCTCAAGGAAATGCCTGCCGAGGCCGGCTGCACGGCTGGGACCTGCTCCCCGAAAGCAGTGCTGGCTGCGGGGACCCTCAGTGCCCCTGGGAGCCTGTGTCCCAGCTCCAGGCATGTTCAGAGACCCCAGAAGACAGACAGGTCGGGCAGCATGGCGACTGTTAGGGGAGTGAGCAGGCTACAAGCGGAGCAGTTATTCCAGGTTATAAAGTTCCAGAATGTTCCATGCCACATTTAACTGCATACTTACAGGGAGCTCTGCGGGTTGGGCACAGCCATTTCTGGGGGAAGGAAGGCCACGTGGTCAATGACGGTGGCATTACAGGGGACAGTCACACACAGGCACCCAGGGCACACCTGGGTCGCTCCTGGTGATGGCCAGACGGACTGGTCAGCCAGGCCCCGGCCCCCGAGGCCCCGCCCGAGTCCCCAGCTCCTGCAGCCAGACCCGTGCCAGAGGCTGGGGCCTCTGGAGGGACAAGGCCCCATCTCCCTCCGAAAGGGGAAGAGGCTGGAGGCTGGCGCTGACTGTTCTCTGACTTTCAGGAGGGAAGCGATTCTGTCCTGTAAGTGGCACTGAGGCCGCCACGGGTCTCATGACAGCCGCGTGGGGACGCTGACCCTCGGCGCCCGCGCAGGCATGGAGGATGGACCCGTGAGGCTGTGCTCACCGCCCGCCAAGGCTGACGCCCAGGCCGAGGGCGGATGTTGGCCATGTTCACACCTGGTGGTGAGAAGGCCCCAGAGCCCAGCCCCAGATCCGAACAGGCCCCCGTCTCGCTGGGCGGGTGAGAGCCAGGCCAGCGGGGTCGGTGGCTGCGCCCGAACCCCTCGCCAGTTTCTGTCTCTAGATCACTGCTGAGCTGCCGCAGCGCACGGCCCGGCGCCTGGCAGTGCCCACCCGCTCCCCCAGCAGCTGGGCAGACCTCAGCAGGATGCCAGGGTTTGGAAAAACAAATAGAATAATAAAAAATTGCTCTTGCCAGGACTGCAAAGTTGCCAAATATTTCAAACTTTAAGAGCAGCTCAGCGTTTAAGCTCCAAACAGCCGTGGCTGTGGACGTTCTTAAAAGGCACGGAAACCGTGCAGTGCCGTTGGTGTTTCTGACATAACACACCCAAAGCCCTTTCTAGAAGGTTCCCGGTTTCCCACAGTCTGCAGAGCTCATTCTCCACAAGAAAACTTTGGCTTTCGGTTCCCGCACCCAAGGCTCCGAACCATCCCATCACAGGGACCTGTTTTCTCCTTCACCTGTTCTCCACAGCTGCCTTGGCATTTTCACTTCTCAGTTAAAAAATATTCAGAAACGGAGCAAGTGACCTGTAGGAGCGCAGGACATGGGAGGGGGAGGGGGTGGGTGGTGGCAGCGCCGGCCTCCGCCTCCGCCTGTGGAATTGGACACAAACGCACAATTCTGTGTCTGAGGCCAGGGCGCTGCCAGCGCTGAGCCCTCCACCCGGGCGTGACTGTGGACAGAGCCGTGGTGCAGAGCAGAGCCCACGCCTCCCGTGACAGTGTCCACCGGCCCCTGGACGACACGCCCAGAAACAGGCCAGGGCCCGCGCTGGGATGTTAGTTTGGCCCAAATTCCTTCCCGCACAGAACAAGCCGTGGCCTGAGAAAACAGACGGTCTCTGCTCCCGGGGACCCCAGGCCGGCCGCACGAAGGGGCGCTGGGCGCCCCCCCGGCCCCCTTTTGCTTGAAGGGAGCCCACCCGGCAGTGGCTTTCTTCTTAGAAAAGACCCCGTCCTCTGCATTTTGGAGCAAGAGTGAGCTTTGAGGAAGGGGAAGTCTCTATGCAGCAGACCCCGTGCCAGCTGCCCCGTGTGTCCAGGTCACTGACTAATCCCCAGACAGGGCTTCTCCTCCGACTGGAGTGCACGTCTGCCCACGCAGCCACGCCCTGTCCCCTCCCCATACCCTCCCCGCACCCCCCCCCCTGTCCCCTCCCCGAGGTTAATTCCGGGAGGGTGGGCGGCTCAGAGTGGGCTCCTTAGGTGGGTCCCCTGTAACCATGCGGCCTTGCGCCTTTGCAGCGGCCCCAGCGGCAAGCGCAGCTGCTGACCAGGCTGGCGCCATGGACCGTCGTGGTTCCCCTGTGGAGCCTGAAGCCCCCCGCGGTACTGTCCCCGGGAGTCGTTCTAGAGAGAGCGGCATGGCACCCTTCCCCGAGTTCCCCGCGCTGTCCCCGGGCCATGGAGGGCGAGCAAGGACAAGGCTCGCGTGTTTGGGGCAGATCCCTTTTCCCGAAGCCCCGAGCCCAAGGTCAGCAGCTTAACTCGCTCTCGATGCCGCCAGGGCGGGGAGGAGACCCTCTGCCCTTCCCATCACCCGTGCTGGTGCTCAGGGGCCAGGTGCGTGCAGGGGCGAGCACCCCAGGGCCTGGGGAGGCCTCCGCGGCTCGGACGCGGCATCGCTCCGGCCAACGGGCTGCTTTCGCGGCGAGGCTCGTTCAGAATCAACGCCGCCTGAACCCCAGTGAGTGCTACTTCTCAGGGGCGCAGGGCCTCACCTCTGAAGACACCACAGGACAGAATGGCCCCATGCCGGGAGGGGACACTGGCTGCACGTCTGCACAGCCTTCACCAGACTGAAGTCATTGCAGTGAACCCTGGGCTTCAGCTGCCTCCCCAGGACAGAGCACGAGCCTGGCCTCCTGCTTCCCGTGGCGAATGGGCAGACGCCAGGGCCGGGCCACCCTGGTGTGAACCAGAAGCTAATGGCTTCTGCCAGGGCCCCAGGCGGCCGCAGGCACCCTCCTGTGGGCAGAGCGCTGTTACCTTTTCTGATCTTGTCGTGAAAGTTGATGGCGTCCACAGAAGCCGTGACGATGTTGGTCTTGCAGTGCCGTGCGGCCACAATGCCGGCAACCTCGTCCATGAGCTTCATGGTGACGCCTGCGCAGAAGAGGCACGAGGCAGGTGAGACGGGGCAGGGAGCTGCTTCCCACAGGGAACAAGGTGTGAACACCAAGCCCTCCCAGCTCCCACCAGCGGGGGCTGCACAGCGCTGGGGGCGGGCGGGCACGGGGACTGGTGAGGCTGATGGAAATCTGGCTTCCTCAGGAGCTTTTTAAAATTGTTTTTAAATATGTTTTTATTGATTTTAGAGAGAGAGGAAGGGAGAGGGAGAGCAAGATAGAAACACTGATGAGAGAGAAACATCGACGGGCTGCCTCCTGCACGCCCCCTACTGGAGATCCAGTCTGCAGCCCGGGCGTGTGCCCTGACTGGGAATTGAACTGGGGGCCTCCTGATAGTTGGGACGATGCTCAACCACTGAGCCACACCAGCTGGGCCTCCAGGAGCTTTTGAAAATGACCCCAGCTGAAGTTCTAGGTCAATAACAAAACACAGTCCTTTGTCCTGCCCTCTCCAGAGATGTCTCCTGTCAGGACAGTGTCCTTCCTGGGTGGCTGCTCCAAAGTCAGGTCCCAGTGCGGGGAGACCGTGGTGGAGTCAGACCCTCGGAGCGGCTGGGGGTGGAAAGTGGTGCGGCGGCAGCCACTTTGGAGGTAAGTGGGAGTTTCACCAAAGGCGGATTCCGCGCCACACGAGGCAGCCAGCCCACCCCCAGGGCACACCCGCGAGAACGGAAAGCGTGTCACACCCCTGCGTGCGGATCTCATGACGGCGTCTCCCAGCAGCCAGACCGGGATGTCCCCCCACCGATGAGGGGACGAAGGACTGAGCCCATCCGTGCAATGAAAACAGACAAAGAACCGACACTCTACACATGGGTGAGCCTGAAAACACGACGCTGAGCGAGAGAAGCAGGCACAGAGGCCAGGCGCTGCGAGGGGCCCGGACAGGAAGTAGGTCCGTGGTTGTCCGGGGCTGGGGAGCAGGGGGAGTGGGGAGGGCCTGCTCATGGGTATGAGTGTCTCTTTGCGGTTACGACAATGCTCTAAGTTGCTTGTGGTGGTGGCAGTGTAGCTGATGACACTGGAAACCAGTGACTGGTGGTGTGAATTGTGAGGTCTGTGACTTCCTCTCAACAAAGCTCTTCTAGAAAACACACAGCCAGAAGGCAGGCTGCACCGGGCTGGCCCCGCCTGCTGGCTCCCGCCCCCGATCTCGCACCCCAGCACAGCGCATGATGCTTACTTCACATTCTCAGCTTAAACATGCCCTTCGGTTGCGCTGCTGAGACTGTCCCCAGGAAAGCAGCAAAGGGTACTGGTCAGCTCGCAGCCCCCGGAAATCTTAGTCACAGACCCACCCAGGACACAGGGGGCTCCCGTCGGAGAGGCAGAGCCAGCCCCCGGCCGGGAAAGCGGGCTCCCAGGGCACCCGGACGAGGGCCCGAGCCACCAGCCTGGGCCCTGCGTGTGTACGAGGAGCCTGCCCGTGTGTACGAGGAGCCCGCCCGTGTGTAGACATGGGATCGTTACCGCTTTGTGTGGGGAAACAAAATAAACACCACGTCACGGAGAGGCCAGGCGCCCGTGCTGAGCCTCAGGGCCTCACAGGCATTGGGGGACGCCGCTTCCCAGGACGTGGGGGCAGGGAGGCCGCTCTCTTCTCTCCGCGTCTGCATACTGAGCTTTTCCAGAATAAAAAGCGTTGTTTTTTGTAACGAGTGTCCTTCACTTTAAGAAATTGGGCTTCCATTACCATGACTCTCACGGAAGGTGCCACTGAGGACCACGGCGCTCGGCTCAGTGGGTGGCAGGCGCCCCGCTCGGTCTGCTGAGGTGTCAGCATCCCCTCTTCCAACTAACTAATGGCAAGGCTCAGGCCCGGAGGTCAGCTCTGGAGGGAGTGAGTGCTGGCCGGCCGGACAGCAGCCGGGGCGGGCCCAGCGCTGTCCGCTTATCACAGCAGGAGCCGGAGGCACAGAGGCCACAGAGCTTGCGCAGGAAGAGTGGGACCAGCCCACGACCACGGGCACAAGGCCGCACAGAGCTGCCTCTCCATCCATGACTGCGAGACGGGGCTCCAGGTGGATTCCTAGCTGCGGGGGATTACGGAAAGGGGCGCTCAAGACCATGGCGACGTGGGGGCAGCACGGTGGTGTGCAGGTGGAAGGCCACGGGCTGCGAGTCCAGCTCCGGCCACCAGACGGCGTCATCGACCAGGGGGTCTAGCTGGGGCAGGAGGGAGGGTGAGGAGGTGGGACAGGAAGGAACACCTGAGCTGGAATGAATGTTTAGAACAGAAGATACAACGAGCCCTCTCTGTGTTCCTGTAGGAGGGGCCGGTGAGGATGGAGGCGTGAGTGGAAGGAGTCAGAACCAGCCCCTGGGAGCGGGGGTGCTGCCCCATTTACCGGAAATGCTGGTGGAGGTCCCACAGGGCATCACTGTACTAAGAACAGCGCAGGGCCGAGTGCGCCAGGGCGTGGCCACGGGTCCGGGCGGACGGCAGGCGTGAGCAGCGGGGCGCTCCCGCTGTCAGCCCGGCAGCCCCGGCCCAGCACCCAGGCCTCTGCGTCACATGCGACAGAAGCCCTTTGAGGCCAGCACTTGAGCTCTCCGTGTAGCGAGCCCTACAATCTACCTTGATTACCGGGGTTCGCCATGTGAAGTGACGGCGAAAGTGTAGACCTGCTCCTCGAACACTGCACTCATCAGAGTTAGAAAGGAAAAAACAAGACTTGCTTGGCCACTAACATCGGCACCAGAGGTAACATCTAACTGCCTACAGGTTTGTGTTTTGAAGTATCAACAACACGCTGAGTGGCCTAAAAGAGAGGCTTCATCTTCTTTCCCGGCCCGACTGGCTGACGGGGCCGCGCTTGCCGACAGACCCACAGCAGCCGCGCTGTGGGCGGCGACTTGAAATGCCCCATTTCTACATTTAATTCCGGGGACGGAGTGTGGGGCCAGCCTCTGAGATGAAGGCAACGGTAGTAAGTGCAGCCATGGTGACGAGCCCCCGTGGTGACCACAGGGTCACTCCAGGGGCCGGCGTGACAGCCTCCTCCCCAGACAGTCTGGCCTCCCTCCCAGGCTCCACACGGACCTGTGGGCACCTCTGTGCACCGGACCAAGGGCAGAGGAGCACTAAAGGTAATCAATAAGGATGATTTTTGGCAATTAATGGGCAGTGCGGTAAAGATGATAGGTTTCTAACATCAAAACGTCAAAAGCGGGAAGTCTGCAAAGGCCTCGGGCACAGCTGGACCGTGGCTCCCGAGGGCCGAGCATCGCAGACCAGGGGCCGTGGGAAGGGCTGCTGCATTTGGTTGCTCACTGTCCGAGGAAACTGGAGACAGTCCCTGTTAAATCTGCCGGCTGCTGGGTGGGGATCAGTGCCTGCCCCGTTGTGAGCGAGGCGGCAGGGGAAGGAGGGCAGGCGAACCCTGCATGGAGCCGGGACCGGGCCACCGTGTGTGCAGGAGCCCCACCCCCACCCCCCACCCGCTCTGGGGAGGTGGCAGCCTCACCTGATTCCATGCAAGGTCAAGGTCACATCTTTGAAGGCCAAGAACCATTCCACTGGTGTCCATTTCCTCAAAGGAGTCTAGACTGAAGTTGGGGGTGAAGGCTAATCCTATATAATAAAAGGCTAATATGCAAATTGTTCCCTCGGGAGTATGACGGCTTGCTATGGTGTACGCTGACCACCAGGGAGCAGTGCAGAATGAAGGAAGGGCCCAGCCGGCAGCCAGCAGCTGGGGAAGGAAGGACCCAATCGGCCCTGATCGCCAGCCAGGCCTAGGGACCCTACCTGTGCATGAATTTCATACATCAGGCTTCTAGTCTATAATAATAAAAACGTAATATGCTAATTAGACTGCACGTCCTTCCAGAAGACCTTCCGGATGAAGCTGGGGCTGCAGCGGGATCGAGGCAGCTGCCATGGCTGTGAGGGAGGGATCCAGGCAGCCGCTGCAGCTGCAAAGGCCTATTCTTGCACGAATTTCATGCATTGGGCCTCTAGTGTTTAATAATTCTATGTTCAGCCCAGCCTGTGTGGCTCAGTGGTTGAGCATCGACCTATGAACCAGGAGGTCACAGTTCAATTCCTGGTCAGGGCACATGCCTGGGTTGTGGGCTTGATCCCCAGTAGGGGGCCTGCAGGAGGCAGCCAATCAGTGATTCTCTCTCATCATTAATGTTTCTATCTCTCTCCCTCTCTTTTCCTCTCTGAAATCAATAAAAATATATATTTTTTAAAAAAGAATTCCATGTTCGTGATGTTGAGTAGGAAAGGCCCCTGCAGGGGCCACCTACCACATGTGTCCCTCACGATCGCAGCTAAAGCAGAAGCAGGCGAGTTAATCTGGCACCAAAGGCGGGGACCAGCAGGCTGGACAGATGTTCTCATGCCGGGGGCTGACCGTGTCTCCCAAGCAAAGCGCCCCGAGCTCCCAGAGGGAGGCACACCCCGCGGAGGAGGGGCTGCTGAGAGGACCCGAGGCTGGAGGAAGCCAGCTCCTGGGACAGGGGTCAGGGCGCCCTCTGACCAGGGAGCAAATCCCACTGCCCGTGTCTACGCGGGAGCTCCGCTCAGCGAGGCCACAAAACTGGAAAGGCGCCTGTGCCTCCCTCTGTATTGTTCGGTGAAATCAATTCCTCCCACAAGTGCAAACACTGCGTTTCCACAGCCGCCCACCAGAACCGCGCCCAGAGCATCTGCGCGGGAGGCTCCCCCCACCCGGCACCTCGCCTCCCAGGCGTCCTCTGCTCGGGCCACCTGCCTCCCCTCCAGGGCCTGCGGTTCCCCCGGTGAAGCTGTGCGGTGCCCGGCCTTGGGACCCCTGGGCAGCCACGCGTGCGCGCCCCCAGCCCCAGCACATGCACAGGCGCATGCTGCTCGGGTGGCGTCTCCTGCTGCCGCCCAGCCTGCCTCTGCGGTCCCTTCTCACACAGGGGCCGTCTCCACTCTTCCCAGCCCCTCATCCCACACGCTGCATGTCTGCTCAGAGCCGGGCCCTGTGCCCAGTGCTGGGAAGCAGCCGAGAGAAAGACAGACCAAGTCCCCACCCAGTGAGCCCACATGCGCGGGGGGGGGTGGGGGGGGGTGGGGTAGGGACAGCCGACAGGAGACGCCTGCCAGGCCCTGATCTGATCCTAGAGGCAGAAGCGCTCCAGTTTAGGGGTCCCTAACCCTCACGCCACGTCCTGGCAGAGTGGTGTGGGTTCCCTGCAGGAAGGTGGCCACCGCGGGCACCACGGGCCCCGGGCACAGTCCGTCCTCTGGGTGGGAAGAGCCCCGCTGGCAGGCGATGAAGGACAGCAGAGCCACATGCCCGTGACTCTAACAGAGCAGCTGCCAACGGCCCGGGCGCAGCCACCCGGCAGCACCACCTCCAGCCTCTTTCCGAAAAGTCCTTCCCACACTCAGTGGACATTCCAGGTCCTGAGGACAGGAGAGGCGTGACCTCCAGGAAGAGAAGCCGGACCAAACGCGTGCCAGGAGCAACGACGGGTCCTGAGGAGGATGGAGGTGGCCTCGGCGTGGGGGGCCCAGAAGCACCGGGCAGGTGGGGCTTGGGCGGAGCAGCAGAAGCAGAAAAGCCGGAGGCACGTTTAGGGAAACAGAGTCACAGGGGAATAAAGAGAGGCCCGTGGAGTGGGAGCCAAGACTGATCTGGCTGTGGGGGGTCGGGGAGTGGAGACCCCCAGGTGGGACCCAGGATGGCAATGAGGGGTGAGGAGGGGCGGGCGGGTGGGGAGGGCTCTGACGGCTCAACATGCACAGACTGTATATATGGTCGTGAGGCTCTGCACCGGGGACCAGGTAGGGACCACGGAGATGGGGGGCAGGGGGGCACCACCCCTGCCTGGCACACGGGCTGCGTGGGGAGCATTTACAGAGCGGCTGCAGGGGGGCAGGGCACACGAGGCGACACCGAGCCTCGCAGGACAAGCCCACAGCCACGTCATCTAGCGCTGGACTTGGCTGGGCGCTGGCTGTTTACGCGGCATAAGCTGGAATTTCCGACGAGAGACGGCCTAGAGCCGCAAGCCCGCCAGCAGCAGCGCGAAGGCTGCGAGGAGGCCTGGCCGGAGCGAGGGGGGACGAGGGCAGCTGTGCTTTGTCAAGAGCCATCTGGACCATTTCCACAGGATACTTGGGTTTAAAATAATTTTAAAATAAAAAATGAAGTGCCGAAGAAATATCCAAGGCTGCAGAGAGTTCAGGAGCGAGGAATTCCATGGACGCTGGCGTCCACCCGGGCTAACCCCCAGGAAGCTGCGCGCCCCCCCCCGCCCCTCCGCGGGCTGGCCAGGCCGCCGGACTTGGGAGCGTGTCTCCTCTCGGCTTCAGCTGGCCCTGAGCAGGGACTGCCCAGCCCACATGGACACAGCCCGGAGGCCAGGCCAGGAGGGCCCCAGCGGGAAGCAGCCAGAGCCAGGGGCAGCCGGGGGCCCCAGCGGAGCGGGACACTCAGACAATGAGTCCAGGGACAGACGCCACAGCAAACCCCACCTGTTACCAAACGACCAAAGAGTGACGTTTCATGAGATAGTTAAAATCAAGACATAAAAACACATTTGAAAACAAACACACCTACAAACAACAACAATGAAAAATTGTCTATTTCAGGTGAGGTTTTTTTTAAGCATTACTCATTCTATAGGCTGTTCCCTGACTGAATCCTCGCATTATCTGAGTTATTTTCACCACTGGATCCCGGGTGTTACTGTGCCATCTGGGAAGACAGACAGCCTTACCGCCTTTCTGCCAATTCCTGTGCCTGGAAATGTCTCCTCGTTTAGCTAAGTGGCTAGAATCTCCAAAACAAGGCCACCCAGAACGGGCGGGGGTGGGGGGGGGCGCCCCCGCCTTACTCCTGAGCTCAGGGAAGGGCCTCCAGCCCGCCGATGCGTTTATCACGTTCAATCGATTCCCATCCTCAGCCCGTGTTTCATCGAGGATGGTGTCTGGGTGAGCCTGTAAGGCCTTGACTGTTGCATGAGCCGAAACCACCCCTCATGCCCGGGTCACCCTCAGCCTGTACAGCCAACTCGGGGGAGGGGGGCACGGAGGGAAATGGCCTTTTAGGAGTTGAGATCCCGTACTTTCAAGAGGAGGAAGAACTCTGCCCAGTCACTCAGGACTCAGGGGGCAGATGCCAAGAGCCAAGCTGGCACCTGTGGTTTCCAGCCACGGAGCACTGCCAAGACCTGTGCATGCACGCGTGTGTGTGCATGTGTGTGCACGCACGTGTGTGCACGCATGTGCATGTGTAAGTGGCAGGGTAGGAGCTAGGCCTCAAGATGGACTATCCAAAGTGTGAAAGTCACAGAAAACGGGGCCAGGAGTTCACCAAAAGCACAAACACAGCACAGAGTCACTGAAAGGCCGAATGAGCACAACCCGGGCCACTGTTCCCTCCTGCGGGCGGCACCCACTAGACTCCAGCGTGGAGAAGACTGCCATTGAAATGCGTGTCCACCCGCCTGCCGACAGCAGTCCCCCTACAGGAAACGGGGCGACCGGGCTCCCAGTGTCGACCTCGTCCTCCACTCCTGCTGAATTACTGGCAATGTGTGAGACAACGGGTTTGGTAAAATTATTAGACTGTTTTTAAAACCGTGGGCACAAAAGCCCTCCTGAAACGGGCATTGCACACACTTCTTAAACACGCATTAACAGTGTGCCTGTACCAAGTGGCGCGGCCGGGGCGCCGTAGGTGACATGAGCTCCGTGAGCTGCCGCTTCCGGGGTCCCGGCAGGTCTCCCCCGGCCTGCACTGCACGGCGCCCCCCCACGCGGAGCAAGGAGACAGCTCTGGTATGGACCCTGCACCGAGCACGCGGCGATGGCGGAGATGCCACATGCATGAACTTCCACCGTGTGGGCGAAGCTACCAACAACTGCAGCACGGAGTTCCACAGGTTCCAGGCAGGGTGCGCTCTGCGGGGCTCCAGGCCAGTCCTTTGTTACAGAAGCTGGGCTTCTGGTGGTTAGGCTGGGAAGAGGGGGCTGCCCCCTCCCAGGAGAGGAACAGAGAGCTTACGAAGCCAGAGCCGCACAAGCCATTCTGTTCCCTGATTGTCACAATACTCATGGGCCTGGAAAGAACTGTTCGTTATAAAATAGAGCTTTCCTCGGGGAGGACCTAAGCTGACCAGATCTCAGGGCACTGCAGCGGCATTTAGTTGAAGAGGAAAGAATCATGAAATGGAAAAAAGAAGCAGACAAACGATCAGTTAAAAAAGAAATGACCTTCAGAAACGTAGGTCAAATCAGGGCCCACTATCCCAGCTCCTCACCCCGAATGTTACGTGCACCTCTCATTCAGGGAGCCACCTGAGCGGTCTGTGCCTCTCTCACTCTATGGGAGGCCCTGGAGCCAATACGATGAATAAGATAAAGCCCTGCTCCTGAGGCATCCCGGGTAGAAATAGCAATGCGACCCTGCCGCATGGTACCATTTGAGCCGGGTTTTGAAGGATGAATAGGAGTTTTCTGAGAGGAGAAGAAAGGAAGGCCTGGCTTCCGGGCAACTGGAAATGAGAGTGTGAATGAGTGACATTGAACAAGTGCCCGTTCTGCCTGGGAAGCAGGACTAGCTCCTTCCACCCGAGCAGCGCAGTGCAGCCCAAGCTTCCTCACCCACACACCACGGTCACGTTTCCGCGATCGTCTGCCACGTAATGACCTTTCCCCTTATGCTTTTCTTTAAATCAGCTTGTTTTCTGAAGTTTACTTTAATGCCATCGAAATGATAATATCCATTAATGTATGAGCTTGATGTATACTTAAATTTTCCCTAAATCACAAAAAATAATTATACATCATTCAAGTAACAAGTGTCCCTCCAAGAACCTGCGTCTAATAAGTCCTCTTGTGTGCCCGCTGTGTTTCCCGAGCTGGGAACTTCAAGGCCTGTGTTGTCTGAGCAGGAATCTGACCAAAGGAAAACATAAATGCAGACATCAGCGGCAAAAATGGCTTCTATCGGCCAGTCAGTGCGCCGCGACTTTACTCCTGAGGGTGTGGGCCCAGCCCGCCCACGGCAGCCACTGCGCACCGGTGGCTGCGCTCCCAGGGGTGGGGTAACTCTATTAGGGCACTTCCATCTGACTTTCACTCCCAATTTTACAAACAGTATTTCAGTACTTATTATGCAACTCCTAAAAGTTTAAATGTACGCTTCATTGAACAAAGAGCCTAAACTGGGTCAGACAGCGTGACTTCCGGGGAGTCATGAGGGCCTGGCGAGCGGGGGGAAGGGAGACGACAGCCTGGGACCCTTACCTCCGTGCACGAAGCCATGCAGCGTGCAGTCCGAAGGCCCCACCAGGTGGATCAAGCTGGACTGGCTGTAGCTGACCGTGTTCGGCTCTGGAATTGCAAAGGAGGCAGGTCAGGCCAGGGGCAAACGGGTCCCCCGGCTGACGTGTGACCGTGCTGCCACACCAGCGTGTGCGTGGTCCCCGGGGCTGCCGGCAGCTTAGACCTGGAATCTCTAAGGAAAACTGTGGCCGCAGAACAAGCTGCAGTTGGCGAAGGGGAAGGCTTTTGAGGATTGATCAGCCACTCCGTTAGTGGGCCATGACGCCACCCTCTGGGGACAGCAGTGTCCCCAGCAAGGCCCTGCCCCAGCCACAGGCAGCCACTGAACACCTGGTGGCGAGCTCCCAGGGCTGCCTGCGACCCTCTGTGAGGGCGCTCTTCATCGGACTCTCATTCCCCGTATTGTAAACAGGCGCCAACCGTCTTCAGGAATCTGCTGTGGAACCTCCCGTTTCACCTTACACTGCACTCTGCACCCCCGCGGCCTGGTGCCTGAGGCCCCGGGCCGGCCCGGGCTCGCTGGGAGGCCTCCTGCAGGAAGAGCAGCGTCACCGGGTCAGGAGCCGGGCGGAGGCAGAGGCAGAGTCCCTCCCGAGACGCCACGCTCGGAGGCTTCGTCCAGCCCACCCTCGGCACGTGGGCCGAGCGGTCCTCGCGGGTGGGCAACTGCACCAGGGGTGCGGGGTCTCATCCACGGTTCCCGGGAAAGGCTCTCGGTGTCCCCTGGGACTGCAGTCCGTGCAGAGGACCTGTGGCCTCAGCCAGGGGTGTCCAGGCGGCCTGGGCTGGCGGAGAGCCACTGTGCCTCAGGGCAACGTGGCACGCCCGACACGCCATGCGAGGCCGGAGAAAAGGCCAGGACTCGGCGAGGCCCAGTCCCTCATGTCACTTGTGCTCTGTGAGGGGCGGTGACAGTCCCTGCAGGTTAGGTGCACCCAGTGCCACGCCTATCACCAGCCTCAGGGGCTTTGGGTGCCCAGACCCTGCCCGGGGGACTGGGGGGAGGGGCACAGCCCAAGGAGCCACGAGGACGCCTGGACCATCAGAGAAACCCCGGGCAGCGCTGCCGGCCCAAACACCCGGTTCCAAGCACCGTGTCCCTGGCCTGGCCCTCTGCACGCCTGGGCCCACCACCTGCTCTGGTTGGCTCGTGTCCCGCTCAGAAAGGACAGCAAAGCCGCCACGGCATAGGCCCCGCCCTGAGGGCGTCCACGCAGCAGGGGCTCCTCTGCTTCGCTGTTAAGGACTCGGGGCGGAGAGGCTGGAGGGAACATCTGTGACCTCCTGTTTGGGTTCGGGTGGACATTCTGTTAAGGCGGGACCACCCTGGACCTGAAGGATGAGGGACGGGCAGGCGCCGCCGGAAAGGAAGGCTGTGGCCCAGAGCTTTGTCGCCAACGCAAAAGAGCTGCTATCACTCTGTTACCCATACACACACGCTCCCGGGGGCCTGGGGGGCCCGCAGGAGCCGGTGGAGCCGGTCTCTGCGGGCAGGAGCCCCTGTGGGCACACAGGCCCCGGGCAGTGCTCGGCCTGAGCCTTTTCCTACGGGACCGCCGCACCGAGGCCTCCGGGGACTTGCCGGGCCCCCATCACCCCAGCTGCCTGGAACCGGGAAGGGCTCGGGATGGCGCTCTAACCCCAGGAGGACGTCACGGACCGGCACCTCTGTCACCTGCCAGCGGACATCAGCCATCTACCCCGGGCCCCCGCTGTACCTGGGTTCAGGCTGGGCTGGACGATGTCCCCGTTCCTCCACTTGGTCTCCATGCGCTCCAGCTTCTGGGCCTCGTAGCGCCTGCGGCCCTCCTCCTCCTGCTCCTGCCGGGAGTACTGCGGGGCAGACAGGGGGTCAGCCGGCCGCCCGGGCCGGGCTCTCCTTTCTCTAACTGGCTCCATCCTTCCTCTGATAACACACATTTAATATGAACAACAGCATCACAGAGAGGGAGAAGATCTCAGGCAGCCTCCCCCCTGCCCGAGATCATATCCTGCCTGAATTATTCTCATGCCCATCTGCATATAGCAGTTCTGTCATGCTGTTCATGGACTTTAAAAGCCACAGTATTTAAAAAAAAAATAACAGTACTCCCCCTCTTGCTGTATCAACATAATGTATGCGATGGGGCCATTAAAAAGGGGCATTCAGCCTGCTCCCAGTTTTCTTCCTATTAAAATGTTATCATACTGACAATCTCAGCCCTCATTTGCCACCCGCCCCCTTCCTCCCTATTCGTTCCTGGGCACAGAGCTCAGAATCCAGGCCACACCCACTCTCCTGCGATACAGGTGCCCTGAGTGCCCCCACCCCCTGCACCCCGCACCTGGCAGTCCGGCTCTGCTGCCCCCTGGCCGGCCAACAGGCTGCATATTGTGAGGAACGTGCAGGTGAAGCTAAGACGGCCCCGCTGAGGCCCAAAAGCTGGGCTCCGAGTCCTTTGGGCTAAAGGCGGGTATTGCGCCCTCCCATTCCCATCGTCCTCCGGCCGTGTAGGGAAGACCCCCAGGGACCCCTCAAAGAGGCCCCAGGTGGGCCCACGGCCCCTCTGACTGCCCACTTCCCCAGGTGCCCTCTCCGCCTTGCTGACCACAGCCTGGCCACCCCCCCTTTTTTTTTAAAGGGAGAGAGAGAGAGAGAGCAACATCGATCAGCTGCACCCTGTACACCCCCAACTGGAGATCAAGCCTGCAACCCAAGCTTGTGCTCTGACGAGGAATCGAACTGGCGACCTATTGGTGCACGAGATGTCACTCAACCAACTGAGCCACAGAGGGTGGGCCCTGGCCACTTCCTTTTGATTAGCCCCACCTTCCGCCCTTTCATTGGCTCAACCAGTATTTCTGTGGAGAAGCCACTGAGCTCGGGGGCCCTTGTGCTCCTCTGCCCCCCGCCCCTCCTCGCCCTAAACCCATCGGTTTAAGCAGATCCAGTTCAGAGGGCACTGCAGCCTCTTTCAAAGCCGCTTTAAGCACCCGGGCTTCCCTCTGGGCTCTGTGCCACGTGTGCCCAGGGTCTGAACACCATTCCGTTATCTCGGCCTTCAGAGCCCGTCTCCACGGGGGCTGCGAAAGGAGCTGAGTGGTTTGTTCAAGAGAAACGAACTGGAGTGTTCAGCTGCAGGGGACCACTCAACCTCGCCCTCCATAAACACTGGGTTCCCAGCCCCCAGCCGTGGCTGCAAAGGAGAGCCTGTGCCGGCCTCATCGAACCCGCTGAGCTTCGCTGTCCTCAGGAAATGCCTTTTCAGAGACTTTAAAGAGCCGCCTCCTGGGGTCACATAGGGCCCGGCCTCCAGTCACAGGGGACGGACGGAGGCCGCATCCTGACCCAGGCCGCGAGGACAGGGAAAACGCACCTCCTCCCAAACGCTTCCCTGCTGGCTCTAAATCTTGGGATAAAATCACTAGAACATTCTAGTGATGGGCTGGCACCCAACTCTCACCTCCAAGAGCTCAACACACCCACTGATGTGAAGCAGAAGACAGCTCAGCCCAAAGGTCCAGGACGAGTGTGGGCAGCTCTGTACCGGGGGGGTGGGGTCACATCAAAGGTTCCCGGGAAAGGCACCCCGGTGTCCCCTGGGACTGCAGTCAGTGCAATGCCTGTGGCCTTGACCTAGGGGTGTCCTTCGAACCTCCTAACTCAAGCAATGTCAAGACCACGAGAAAGCCAAGTGTCCATTCTCCAGTGGCCACTAGACTGCAGCTGCCCCACCAGCCACCAGCGGCCTCCGTCTCCCCTCAAGGGCCTGAGGTCCCTGTTCCCTGGAGAAGAAGGTGGAACAAGGTGGCAAAGTCCTGCACCGATGACCCTGCACAGGGCGGGCAGCTGGGCTGCTTCCACGAGAGGCAGACATGCAGTGCACCCACGAGTGCATGTATGTGAGAGGGAGGGATGTGTCAGAGATGTGTGCCTGAGGTACCTTATGTGTATGTGGCATGGGATATACATGTATGTAATATGTATGCATACATGCAAAAGACCTCCGGCTGGCTACACTGCGGGGGTCTGGACTGACCACAGCACCTCCGAGGTGTGTGCAAACGCCCAACCAGGACTGAGGCTGGGCCCGGCCATGACAACAGACGACAGTTCAAATCGACTGAGGGCTTCTGCGTGGGCCTCGCCCGTGTGGGAGGGAGCAGCTCAGACCCACAGCAGCAAGGGCTGCAGCTGGGAGCCGTGTGGCTCCCCCGTCTGGAGCCTCTGCTTCCGCTCAGAGGGACGGCGCCCACACAGCCCTCTCGAGGGCAAGGCTGGTATTTGTCTCATCAAATCCGCTAAACAAAGGCAATAGGGAACCACTGGGGCTCCCCCAGGATGAGGGCGAGCAGGGGAGGGGGGCGGCGGGGGGGAAGGGACAGGAGCCAGCAGAGCCGGACATTGCCCCTCCCTCAACTGACCAAAACCCAGCAGCACAGCACACGGGCCCCGAGGAGCCAGAGAAGCAAAAGCCCGTGCTCGTCCCGGCGTCCCCTTCAGTGTCGCCCCTTAAGAAGTATCACATGGCCCGGCCGGCGGGGCTCAGTGGTTGAGCGTCGACCTATGAATCAGGAGGTCACAGTTCGATCCCCAGTCAAGGTATAAGCCCCGATCGTGGGCTCAGCCCCCAGGAGGGGGCATGCAGTAGTAGCTGATCAATGATTCTCTCTCATCACTGATGTTTCTATCTCTTGCTCCCTCTCCCTTCCTCTCTGAAACCAATAAAAATATAAAAATTTTTTAAAAGTATCATATGGCGCTGAAGCCAGAGACACGGCCTGCTAGAGATTTCTAAATTCTGTAGCATCTGAAATTAAATCAGTAAAAATAATTGTGTTGGAGTATTTACATGGGATGTGGCTAATTCAGCACCAAGGGCTTCGTGGGAAAGATGAAAGCGAGGTAGGTACACAGTTTCTACCAAGGACAGTCACTGCGCCTCAAACTCTCCTGGTTCTTGGGTCTCAAGACCCCCAGTTAGTGCGGCTGGAAAGTGAGAAGCTCCCACACATGGGCAGACAGCGGAGCCCAGCCGGGCGGGATGAGGCGGGGAGGGGCCCGAGGGTGGGCTCTGGCCGCAGCGTCGTCACATTCCTGTCCCCCTGGAACCTGCGCCCGTGGCCGTTTGGAACGAGGGTCTGTGCAGGTGCAATGAGCTGAGGTCACACAGAGCAGGAAGGGCCTGAGTCAGTGACTCGTGTCTGGATAAGAAATAAGGAGCCTCCCTCTCTCACATACAGGAAGGGCCATGTGCCAACGGAGCAGAGCTCGGAGTGATGTGGCCGCAAGCCAAGGAATGCCAGGGGTCCATAGCTGTCTGGTTCCAGTCCGTTATTTAAAACCGTGTTCTATACGCATCTCGACGGCAAGAAGGAACCCTCGCGAGGGGCACGTGCCTCGAGAGCCCAGATCTGGTTCCCTCTAAACTGCTTTCTCCTCGCAGGTGTGAGAGCAGAGAGCAGTGGCTCTCACGGACGAGCCATGCACGCGTGTCCTGGGAACATCCAGCCACACGGGAGTTACAAGAGGAGGAGGTGAGGGAGCAATTGTGGGGAAGGAGCCCCGAGCTGCCCGCTGACCCTGCCTCCCAGAGGCCCCCAGGAACAGACACGATGAAGCCTCTCCATGCAAAGATGCGTCTGCCCACAGCAGCTGCCGAGGGAAGCCAAGGGCTGTCTTAAGCTCAGGTCCTCAGGGGCCCAGAGGGACTGAGGGGCAAGGCTGGCCTGGGCAAGGCTGCCGGCGGTCCTGGCTCTCAGCTCGTGAAGATTCGTGAACAGAAACCTCGTGAAATTGGAGGTGGAGGGCTCCCCTGCCTTCACTCACCCGCTGCCCCCCTCAGGGAGAAACGCCCGCCATCTCCCACAGGAAGGCCTTTTCCAGCCACTGCTCCAGCAGGAGGGGGGATCTTCTCCTCGCCTGGCAACCACTCAGCCAATGAGAAGCAGCCACACTCTGGGCTCCCAGTTTCCCCCCAGTGGACTGTCTGTTTACAGCAGCCCCTCTGCACCCCACTTCCCTCTATAAGGGAGCCTGCCTCTCCCCTGTTCTCTAGACTTGTGGGTGGCGCCATTAGACTGTGTGTCCCTAATTGCCAGTCTTTGCTGTTCCTGAGTAAACCCAGTTTGGGGAGAAATGTCCAGCTGTCTGTCTGTCTAAGGTCAACAGGCAGGAGGACCCTCACCAGGCATGGCCGTCGCCTGCCTTTTGTCTGGTCAGAGAGTGGGATAAAGGGCCCTGGCGGGGTGTCCTGGGGTCTGGGCCAGCCACACTCACATACCCAGCTTGAATGAAACCTCCGCGGAGAGACAGGGACCCCTCCCCGGGCCCCACCTGGCTCTCTGGGGGGCCTCCTACCATCAGAGTGGCCGGCTTCTGTCATCTGCCCCGTGAGAAACGGAAGGGGCCTCCTTACCACAACCGGAGGCACCTCCAGGACCTTGTCCACATTCTTCAGCGACAGGGGCACGTACCACAGGGTGGCCTTATTGGTCAGCTTCTTGGTACCTTCAGAGAAGAAAACCACATGAGTGAGGGCCTAGGGAAGGAGGGCGGGGCGCCAGGAACGCCACCATCTGACCCCTGACCCCCAAGGCCTTTAGCCATGACGTGCAAGCATAGACCCCCAGCAAGGGGACCCTCCCCACAATCCTGTCTTTCCCAAAGGCTGCTGGGAAGACTTCAGGTCACCTGGTTTAAGGTGTGTGTGTGTGTGTGTGTGCGCGCGCGTTCCCCAGGCCTGTCGGCTTTCTGGCACTTGCTAACACAGAGGGTCCCAAACCAGACATGCTGCCTCTGAAGGGGTTTAAACAGAGGGCAAAGTGGGGCTGCCCCATCGCTGAGAAACCTGGGCCAAAAGAAATCACTTGGTCCATACCCCTCACGTGCACGGGAGGAGCCTGAAGCTCAGAGAGGTCCACGGTTTGCCCTGGGTCACACAGCAACGCGGTGCCATTCTGAGTACAGACCTAGGCTTCCCGGGTCCCAGGAATTTCGGGGAAGTATTTGCAAGGATGTCTTTTAAAAATTGCCTCTCCGCCTGGCTGGTGTGCTCAGTGGTTGAGCATCGATCTGTTCCTGGACAGAGCACATGCCCGGGTTGTGGGCTCGATCCCCAGTCGGCAGGAGGCAGCCAGTCAGTGATTCTCTCTCATCATTGATCTTTCATCTCTTGCTCCCTCTCTCCTCCTCTCTGAAATCAATATATATATATTTTTTTAATTGCCTCTTCCATGTGAACCCGAGTGGAATGGAGAGGAAGCGGGAAGGCGAGGAGCGGCCCAGTGACCTGGGAGCCCCTCCAGGCGCTCACTTCCTAGCAGTTCCTCCCGACCTGCCTTCCCAAGGTGAGCCCGGGGCTGCGGCTTCCTCCCCTCACCTGTGGGGATGATTAGATGGATTAGAACGAGAGAACGAGAGAGAGAGAGAGAGAGAGAGAGAGAAAGAGAGAGAGAGAGAGAAAGGCCATGGGGGCAGCTCTGGCCCACAGCACCTGGGACAGCAGGCTCCGCGTGTGGGAGCCACAGGAAACATGGGAAGTCTTTTCACTGAACTCCGACTGAAAGCGAATCTGACAGCCTGCTTTTGGGAATAAAGATTTCCTGTCTGACTCAGCTAGAGCCAGCCTGACGAGCTGGTTTCCATGGAAACCCCGAGTGGCCCTCCTCTGGACCCAAATGAGCGCCATGGAGCAAATGAGGCAAAACACACTAATTGCACTTTCCCCATCATTTAATAAAACCATCGAAAGGCAGCTGCGGCATTAGGAACGTCTACTTCAGAACCTAAGAGCTCCCAGCTACTTTCTGGAGCAATTTACAGCAATCACACCCCAGTTAGCGGAATATTTTGACAGTTGCCGGAGATGAAGAGCCGTCTGCCTGCCTGGGTGTGTGCTCGTTCAAGTGCCTCCCGACAGGCACCGCGGCCCGGGCGGAAGGGACACACAGACGGGGTTGAGAACAGAGATGTCGCGCAAACAGCTCACGTTCAGCTTTGCCGGGCTGTTCCCCTGCCAACCTCAGTCTCCGTACCTGTCAGAGCTCACCGCCCGCCCGTGGTGTTCGTGAGGGCCCGGCACTGCTCGGGGCGTCGGGGGCTGCGGTGGGCAAGGCAGCCGCAGCCCTGTCCTCAGAGGGCTCACACCCCAGGGGACATGTGGGCAAAAAGAGACACAACAGGACAGGGGGGCCTTGGGAGACCAGGGTCCCAGAAAGAGATGCAAACCGATCCAAACATGGGGGACCCAGGCGAGCGTCAGAAAGGGGCAGCTCTTTAGCGGGGTCCAGGGCAAGATGACCAGGACGTGGAGAAAAGCCCAGCGCGTCTGAGAGCTGGGCAGTGCCACCCCGGCCTGTCTGAGCGGCTTCTCCGCTCTCCTCTGGGGGCAGTGCGAGTCCTGAGGGCCATCTGCAGGCCTCGGCACGGGGGGGCTCAGGGAGGCGGCGCACCTCCTCAGGGCAGGGCTGAATCCTCGCCCCCTCTGCCCTCACGCCAACGAGGGCCCGAGACCCGCAAAAGGTCCCTTTGATGCCAAAGCCCCCTGCCCTGTGCAGGGCTCGGGCCACAGACGCGAGGCACGGGCACGCTGACCACTCCCCCACCCAGGCCCTTGCTCAGCTAAAGGTCCGGTGTTCACTGCAGCCGGGCCTGCTGAGGCCACCGATGTCACAGCCCTGTGCTCCTGGCCCTGGGGGAGAAGCCTCTAGCCGCTCCCCGAGCTCTGAGCTCAGCACTGCAGGCAGCCCCAGCCCAGGAGGGGGGTGGTTGGGAGGAGGGGCGAGGCCCAGGCAGCTCCCTCCTCCAGAACCGGGTGGGCTCGGGCTCTCCTGTGCCTGGGTGCGGGGGGCGGGGGGGCAGGGGCAGGAGCAGCCAGGGGATGGAGGCCCGGTTCCTCAGCAGCAGCCGGGCTATAAAAAGCAGCCAGTGCCAGTTAGAAGCAAAGCCACACTCCCCTGCAGCGCCCAGTGGGAGGATGAAAACGGGTTTCCATGGTTACCACACCAAGGAAGAGAATATTCGGATCAAACCAGAGTCAAAGGTCGCCCAGTGAGCTTCAGCCTAAACCTGGTTTGGGGCAGGGGAGCGGGGGTGGGGGGGGGAGAGCAAGAGGTGCAGAGGGAGCGGAGGGCACTTGTGCCCTCCCAGCCACTCCCACCCTCTGCCCGGGATGAGCTGCCAGAGGCAGGGCGGGCAGGGCTCCCACACTCAGACCTTGGGCTCGCTGCTGACACAGGCTGTGCCGTCTCCGTGGCAGGAGCACCTGCTCACTTTGTGGGGGGAGCTGGGACCAGCCCCCCGAGCAGCGCCCCTCCACCCACCCGAGCGGGGAGCGCGCGGTCACCTGTGAGGATGTTCTCAGACATGACGTGGACCTGCACCTCCACCGAGTGCTTGGAGGTGTAGGTGATCTCCGCGCTGACGTGCGCCACCTCGCCGATGCACATGGGCGACAGGAAGTCGGTGCGCTCGACCCGGGCCAGGACGGCCACGCAGCGTTCCTGCAAAGAGCAGACACGGTCAGCCCGGCCGGCGAGCCCCTGCCTCGGAGGTGCTCCCCCAAATGGCCCTGACTTTTTCACACATTCCTAATGCGACACCACGGGAGCGCGCACCTCCCCCTGGGACCCCCCAGGGATCGTGCCGTGACTGCGGGTGGGATTGCGACCGGCGTTTTTCTTTTACCCAATTTTCCTACAAAAGACACGTATGACTCGCCTGATGAAAGGTGAGAAAGACACGCAGCTTATACGGGAACTTGGGAAACAGAGACAAGCAGACAGAGGAGGGAAGCCCCTCCTCCCGCCATGGACGACGGTTTCTATTGTGGGATCTCCCTTCCCAGGCGTGTCCCCCAAGAACAGGGGTTCGCTGGCTCATGGGTTCCTGTGTCTTGGTCTGTGTTTTGCAGCTTTCGTCCTTAAATAACTGTGTAAAGACTAAATTCACACTTTCATGCTCTGCTTCTTCACTCAGCAGGAGGAAAGATAGCCTGCGGTGATGTGACAAGCTCTTAGCATCACTGGTCTTTTATGTAAATTTTACTTCTCTTGCAACCAGGCAACCCATTCTCATGACTCAAAATCCAGAAGGAACAGAAGGTCCCCAGCCCCCAGGACGTTGGGTAACCACGGCCAGGAAGTCCTCGGGGCTGCAGGGCCTCTACAATGCCCCCCCCCCCCCCGCACCACCACCACCAGGAAGCTCATCTCCTGGGAACGAAG